CGCATTCGCATGGACGTCATCATCCCACCTCATCCCGTCCCCCATCCCCACCAAGGCACAATAACAGAAAGACAACAGAACAAACCGCATTCGCATGGACGTCATCACCCCCCCCTATCCCCCCTCTATCCACACCAAGGCAGAACAACAGAAAGACAACACAACGATCCGCATTCGCATGGACGTCATTATCCCCCCCTCCCCAATTTTGCACGGAGCTCAAACAGAAGTCCAAGCAGGCATGTGCGAAAAATCGAGTCTCGGCACAGTGCAGACCAGAAATTTGGACAACACCGGAAAAAAAAAAAAAAACGATGCGAAATGCGCAACGTAGACGCAAACATCGGAAAAAAAGTGCACACGGGATAGCTGGTGTATTTTTTGCACAGTGCATCTCGGATTTGTCACCCATTTTTGGCGAAAACATCGTAAAAACCGAGGCGAAAGAAAAACCCAAAGTTCTTGCCGGTGCACCAACGTGCCAAAATTCGAGTTTTAGCGCATGCCTGCTCCGAATTTGCTCCACCCCGCGCGGCGGCAGACGCACGTGCTGCCAACAACAACAACAACAACCACCACCACAACCACAGCCACAACCACAAGCACAAGCATAAGCACAACTACGACGACGACGACGACAACGACGACGACAATCATTCTCATTCTTGAAACAAGCATCAACAAATGGAAATTTGTCGTTTGACCCCTCTAGTGTGCCACCGAAGCACGACCTTCCTCCGTTTTGTCTCCTTGGCCGTGGGGTTGCCAGTCAAGATGTTTGAAGGTCTTTGGGGCTTTTAGTGGATGGGGGTGTGGGGGCTTGGGACTGCAGGATTCCATTGTCTAGCGCTTCGGACCTTCCGGTTCAAGGTTCCGGCTTGAGGCCTTCGATCCATAGGGTTTAGGGTTTAGAGTTTAGGGTTTAGGGCATACTTAGTGCAGTTTACAGCCACCAAAGCTGCGAGGACTGCTCGACCCAGAACTTTTTGCCTTGAGCAAACACACCCAATCCTGAAACGCTGTCTGCTGCCTGGAGTACCTAGCAAACCCCTTTGAAAAAAAAGAGCCTTGGGCGCTTCTGGAACCCTATAAATCCGTTGTACAAACCTACAAAGGTGCTAAAAAAAAACCCTCAAAACTGCAAAAGCCCTACAGAGAACCCTTGCAATATCTGAGAAAGTTGACATGACATGCTGAGCCAGCGGACGACGACGACGACAATGAGAATGATTGTTGAAACAGGCATCAGCGAATGGTAATTTGTCGATTGACCCCCATAGTGTGCCACCGAAGCAGCAGGCTGGCGCCTCTTTTGTTCCTTGGCCATGGGGTTGCCAGTCAAGATGCTTGAAGGTCTTGGGGCTTGTAGTGTCTGGGGGTGTGGGGGCCTGGGACTGCAGGATTCCATCCTCGCTTTGCGAGCGACCAACCTAGCTACGCGCCCTACTTTAGATACTTTTGTGATGGCATTTCCACCGCTTCAAGTGGATTGTTTGCACCCCCCCTCCCCCCCCAACCCCGAAAGCAACAAAGAAGCCTCAAACAAGAACAACCCGCGAGAAGCAAGGAGAACGCCAGGGAAAATAATGCACGTCGACCTTATAGCACCCTTAAGTGGACCTTTAATGCAGTCCCCCGCTGAAAAAAAAAAAACAAGCTACCGGCTAGAATACCCCAAACCTCCACAATTCACCCCGAAGTAGGATGGCACTCCCGCCTCGAGGGGTTTGAGAGGTGACGGTGGATCCACATCCTGCCGTGTCTTTCTAAGGGCTTTAGGAGGGACCCTTAATAGGGACCTATAAGGGGTATATAAGGACTATACAATGGTTATTCCAGGTTATGGGATTAAGGGTCCCTATTAGGGGTCCCTCGTAAAGTCCTTAGAGTCTTTGGGTTACGGAAGGGCTACCCTCCGCAACCCGCCTACGAGGGCCTGCACAAAACACTCACATCGGCGTTGGCATGGGCCTTGCAGCTTCCTGGCCTGAGGCTTTGGGGTTTCAGAGCCAGGCTTTTGGGCCTTGCTTGTGCTCGCAACTGGGTCTGTTCTAACCTAGCAAGAGGCATCCTTCACTTCGCAGACTTCGAGAGCTTGCAGTGTACAAACGAAGTTTGAGAGTAAAGGTGTTTAGACGCGGTCATTCCATTTGTAATAGAAAAGCATGAAGGCTAGCAGAAGTCCGAGACTACAAAGTCGTGATGCGCATCTGCAAGTAAGTAGGAGCTAAGACAACAAAGCATGACTGAAATCTTCAGAGCCTGCGAGTCCCAAGCAGCGTAATCGAAAAACACCATTAGCCGCCTCCTTCTGAAGCCCTTCAATCAATCCAAGTCTTGTTGGTTTGAGCGCCCGCTCGGAAAAGCCTGGCGTGCCGATCGCCGCCGAGAGCCCTGGCGGCACAGACTCAGGTCTAAAGGCCTTAAGGGTTCGATTCCGGGTCAAGGTACATGAATTCCCTGACAGTCATCAACGTACTGCATTGACTTTGAGGCTTCCTATAAACTGAACTCTCATTTCCGGGTTTCGGGATGAGCGAACCCAAGCGGCTTTCAGAGGACCCTCTTTTGGCTGCTTCGGTGCCTGAGACACTTCGGGTTCAGGTTTAGGGCAAGTCCATATTGCGGGGCTTCGTTTATGAACGGACCCTTTTGAGAGAACCCTGACGACTGAAAGTGGCACGCACCTGTTTTGTTTCCGTATTTCGGGTTGGCTGAGGTGCCGATGCCCATCTACCAAAATTGACACAGCCTACACTTTCAGTTTTACCAGTCTACCAGATTCTACCAGGTTTAAGATCCACGAAACGCGAAACCATACACCCAGGCACAAGAGCTTGTAGAAAGGCGGTTGCCAACAAAGGATTTCAATTGCTGGCACATGCATCGATTAACTTACACCGTGCATCCTTGGCAGGTCCAGGAAAGAATCGTGGCACACTGAACATGTCATCGTACGCGGCTTGGAATACAGAAGCCCTGTATAAGACAGCAATGACTTTGCTCCTGGAATCCTTCCTGCCATGCCGCAGACTGATGTGAGAGCCGACAACGCCACTTCACTCCATGCCGCATCTTACACGAGTGCTTTAGCCATCCACATCAAGCTGGACAACAAGGCGGTGATCGAAAATCTCTTGCGGTGGCGCTGTCAACGTTGTCGGCTCAACTAACATGCTCCTGCTGCAAGCGCATCTGCGCTCTCCTCCTGAATACTCAGACATTGTGACATCGCAGCAGCTCAAGCATGGATCTGCCGAACCCTCTACGCACAGCGCCCTTCAAGCTTCGTTGAGGCCGCGGCTAAAGTCCACAGTTCGACGACCAGAACACAAAAAAGATCAGAATACCAACGACAAGCAGAATTAGAGTGACGAACCCGGGCTCTATATTTTAGTTCATTCATAGCTCCTACACGTTCTTAGTGCAAGCAGCCTTGAACACAAGGCTTTCGGCCATCATTCCGCCGCCCCGTCGTTCGGACGGAACGCGCCGTTGGAGGAGGTCATGAACAGCCCACACACCGTGGCCAAGCTGACGACACAGCCGGACCAGAGGCAGACCTAGGTTCCCATCAGCGGGCTACTACCTTGTGATGGCCTGACCCTGAAACCGTCAAAACCCCTGAAGCCTTCCAGAGTCGATCGAGACCTTTGCGCACTCTACACGCCACAGCCTTTCCTTGAACCCTCCAACTTCCTTCATGGGAAAGCTCATCAAACCCCCAGCAACTCTTCTAAAACCCTCCAAACCCCCGGAACCAAACCTTGAGCCCTGGAACCCCTAAACCCTAAACCC